CATGCGTCGCGAATGTTTACATACAACAAATGGCTGCGCCCACGGAATGAAGTAGGACCGATTCGTCATCCGAAGATGACGAGATATCGCTGTTGCTTTTGCTGCTTTTGTGGCAGTCGTCGCGACGCGTCCTGTTCGATATGAGACTAATAGCGACGTACACAACGCCTGTAAAATACATTGTTTATTTACATGATATTCGAACACGCGCTGCGCGACGACCATCGCGCTTTAAATTTAGGAATATTTAAAGAATTACATTTCTACTTTCTTTTAATATTTACACAGTTTTCAGCTTGATTTTTAGTCAAGAATTATGTTTGTGCAAGATTAAAAATCGTTATCATATTACGATTGTCTAAAATTACCCTGCCTTAATTCCAGTTAAGATAGAGTGTTACACAAAATTAAAAATATTGTCATTTTCTGTTTTTTCCCCCTCATATTTGATGTATCGTGTTACAAGAATAATGTTAAAATAGCATGTACTGTTTTGTTTAGGACATTGTTTCTATGTGAAATTAATGTATTGCTTTACTAATTATCAACAGTATCACTAACGCCACCATTATGTCTACTACCACTGTAAAAACTGACTACCACCACTCTCACAATTACCATGCCAACCAACTATACCAACAATTATTTTTGCTATCAAGTCTACCATGACCACCACTACTCTCACCAGCAGTAGTGCCATTACTATGAACAGCTGAAAGAGGAAGAAGAAGTTAAGACACTTACAAGGAAGAAGTAGTGTCTACAAAAATCATTCTTTTGTACATTATTTTTGTGAATTCTCCGAGACTGATCATATCATATCATGTAGCACTCTACACATTAATCTCTGTGTCACTGCATGTCCTATGTATATAATATGTAAATGCATCTTGTGTGCGTGTATTGTCCATTTGTGCTTTGTTGAATTCTAATATGACTATCGGATGGTATATTTGTGCAGTATTGACGTGGACATGAATAAATATAAATGGTCGCTAGCCGGCCATTTTCATTTGAACATATTATTACATGTCCATAGTACAACGTTTGAATAAAATCGCTCTGTTTGTCTCTGAGAAGCGGTTTCTGGTCTGCTTAATTATCAGAATTTAGCAACTTGTACCAAAATGGCAACCACTCAGGAACTTCTTTAACGAAAAATAACGAAAATTTATATACTTATGTAAATTGTCATATATGGTCTGTGTATGATTTATATGGTTTTAATGTGACAGATCAAAGCGGAACCCAAATTAGTAGTCCCTAATTTTGGAACTCGGACTAACTGACTCTGAGGGGAGGGTTTGTTTTTTGTATTTTAAGTTTAGTTTTGGGGAAGTGTCATCATTTTTCTTTCAGACTGACTTGAGTCCCCGGATCTTTTTCTTGGTAACATATGTACCGTCCCTGACTGGATTAATCAAACACGATAATTTATAAGAGTTTAGCTTCTTGTCAATTGCAGTGGATGCTTGATATCACTTACCTATCTCAGCAATATCCATAATATTGCACCGGCCACGTAGTCATGCGATATCCCGCGTCTATAATACACACATAACTTGTCTGTTTTGTGCTGAGCATAGAGCACAGCACCGAAAAAAAAAGAAGCGAATCCGAAATAATTATAAAATTACGTCACATCGAAACGTTGTCTTCGAAAACCAAATGCTCACAGACTTATTGAATCTCCCCATTACTTTTAAATTAGCGAAATACTAAAAAGTGACTGGCAATCTGTGATTTAAATAAACACAAGAACTTTCTTATAACTATCATTATATGCACGATATATTCGCCACGGGAATACAGCGGGTGTAGTAAGGGCTCGACCATATGAAATCATGAGGGTGGCTGGAAAATTTCACAAATTGCTAGCTTGACACTAAAAGAAAAAAAAATGCATGCCTGGTGTGTAGACAAACGAGGAAAAATACAAATGTACAAACAATACATGGCGAAAAAAATGCACTGGCCCCACTCTTCCAGCCACCCCTTTGATTTAAATATTTGACTCCTGCGCTCGAAATAAAAATAAAAATATAATATCCATTAAAATCCAGGGGTGTGGTGTCACCGGCGCAAACAGGCGTGTTCAGTCATGGTAACCATGAGTTGAGTGATAACAAACAAACGACCACATTTTTAAACATGGCGGACTTCTGAAAGAAGAAGACAACATTATAATATTCACGCAATCGCATTTGTACGATCAACTGGTTCGGAAACGATGAGTGCTAAAACAAGGTCGCCGTTCTCAGCTCAGAATTCTAGATCCCCAAGTAAACCTTCTGGATCTGCCAAGTACCAGAGAAAAACCCCACCATCGGTCAGGTAAGTTACAATACCACAGTCTCTCGGTCTGTCAGTAACGCTGTCAGCCGATCCGGCGAACTGATTGATTGAATGCCTCGGCGATCACCTGTTAGGTATACCGATGTCTCGGTTGAGAACTTTCTGAAATGTATGCCTACATAACAGCACAGGCGCTCGTTCCCGGACTTTACTGTCATCGCGAGAATAATCCGCTGGGCAATGTTGCATTTTCCGTTGCTGTTTTGCTAACAACATAGGCAGATTTTCATTTCCTAAGAAACCTATATATATATATATATTGAAATGTTTTGGAATTAGCAACAGGTCATTATGTGTCATGTAAGCATGTATGTATATTATGGCATGCATATTTTGTTTGTATGCATGCGTAAACTTTAATGAGATAGCCAGTGTGGGGTTAATAATTCAGCTTACATTAGTGGGTTGGGTGTGAATTTGTGGATCTTTGTCAAAAAATTTGTTGAGTTTTTTTTGTCTAGTTTCCAACATCTCATCAACCATTATTTTTTCATGTAAAGCTATCAATAATGTCGATATCATTTGGCATATAAACTTTAAAA